GCGGGCTCGGGGAGCCGCGGGGAGCAGGGAGCTCACCTCCGCACCCCCTTTTCGGTTCTGCGTTTATGGTTCGTTATTGCTTTGCTTTTTGTCTGTGTTGTCTTAGAAACTCCTTTGAAGCGCAGGAGTCGTGCGGCGGCGGTGCAAGGAGGGCGCGGGCAGGAGCTGGGAGGTGCCGCGGGGAAAAGCTCCTGCGCGGTTAGGAGTGCGATAAGGAAGCCAAGTGTTAGTAAATATGTGCTCGGAGCCGTGTGGAATTTACCTGGTGGTTTATTGAGTAGAGTCCAAGATGCTTGTTTAGGAAGGATATCACTGCTCGGCCTAGACAGCTTACTGCTGGTTGGAGCTTGGGTGGTATCAATGTCTGTTGAGCCATGTACATCACCGTTTAGCTCAAGGTGCAAAGGGCCACCTTTGTTTCTGAAAGTCACAAAAAGCCTGCTTTCTTCAGGTAGCTCTGTGATTTACTGGTGATGTCTTCCTAGGCACTGCAAACCCAGAGATAGATATGTCACCAAAATCGTGAATCAAACCCCTTAACAGCAATGCAGTATTAAGAACAGGCATTATTTATTGCGACACCAGATGCACAGGGGATACTCCTCTAAGCTGCATGCCAGCTATCCAAACTTTTAACTAGTTATGCATTTCAGAAAACAAAGAAATTAGTGCTCATTGGTCACAAGTTATCTAACTCTTATTAATTAGTATGCTGTCCTCTGTTGGTTAGTGAGTCTCTCATTTCTTATGCTAATTAGCCCACTTTTGGGTCAGTGGGCTTCTTGGGGGTCTTCACAGGGATTTTGGATGGTCTCTGGTGGTCTCTTGCTGAAAGTATGTCCATTAGTGTCCTTTCCATGAACTTTGAGTCTTCCATATATGGTCTTGGCTCAGCTCGTTACCTGTTTGCAGATTATAAAGTTCCTTATCTTGATCTTGGTTGATTTCTGCTGGTTCCTCTGCACTGCTAGTCACAGGTGCGAGAATTTATGTTCATTGGGTGCATTCTCAACTCCCTCTTTGAGACTTACTCAGTTAGTCTTAGATAAGTTCTTTTAGCTAGCTTGTTAATTCTGCACCAATTAACAATACTCTGCTAATTTTGTAACATAATGAAGAACTTTGAAAGTAACATAACTAATTGAAAGTAATATATGACAAGAGGAGGGTGCAAATGGTACAAAGCTGTAAACAGTGTAATCTGAGTCACGTTTATTTTCCTTTCTGTCCATTCTAGGATTGTGTAAAGCAGTTAATTCCTGCGAAGCTGCAGAAGGAGTTAAATATGTGATTCCAAAGGGTTAACCTAGAAACAGGGAGCTGTGCTCTTAGATCCCCTGGTATCAGATAATTGCTGCAATCCTCTAGATGTGTGTGCTTTTCCCTGGGAGGCAGAAAAGTCCAGGCTGGAGCTGCTAACATGTTCTTCCCAGCTATGCCAAACTTACTGTGCTTCATAAGCTCTAGCCTGGCCTGTTTTGCTTGATTACTTTTAATTATATGGTAGCTGTATATTTCCTATAGATCAAATTCTTTTAAAACTAAACCCTGAAAAAAAAAAAAAGCAACACTTCACATGCCTCTGATTCTACTGATGTATTGGCCAAGCACTGAGTAAAATAAGTGTCAGGCAGATCTCCTCACCTCTCTGGGCTCTTCTTTTCTCCTGTTTGGCTAGTAATTCACTTTGCTGTTTCTTCTGTGGTGCAGGACACTGGACTCCATTAAGATTCAGCATTCCTTCTGGGCACAGAGGAGGCTCTGTGCCCAGAAGGTGTTTTCCCTTGCCACATTCTTATTTGTATGACCTGTAGAAATTTTTTTCATCTGTTGTATTAGGTATTGTAGTAAAACCTCTCATTGACATTAAAAACACAAGTAGGGAAAAAATGTGAGTGTAAACCTAAAACTAGTAATCAGTGTGAAACATTCTGAAAGGATGAAAAATATATGTAAGATAAAATGTAATTTCCAGATCAGTTAGTGCAGTTTTTGTAAGTCTAAACCCACTTGTCCTGAAAGGGAGATTGTCTGCCTGAATTTGCACTAAATGATGAAGGTACTGATTGTATCAGCTAGGGTGTTTAATATTTTATGTAACTCTCTAATTCTGTTTCGAATTCCAATGAGCAAACACGCAGATAAAAAGTCTACTCTGAATGTTCATGTTGCAAACCGATCAATTACATGTGGAAGAACTTGCAGTAATGCCTGGCACGCCTTCCCTGCAGAGCTGATGGTAAATGCAGCTACGCTCAGGGTCCTCCCAGGAGGTCCCCAGGAGGTCTGAAAAACTTCTCTAACTCCCCAATTTAGGCAATTCTAAAACACTGTTCAAGACCTCTCATCTCAAAGTACTAGCTTAGGTTAGCAGAATTAGATTAATTTTTTTCTCTTGTATGTGACAGAAGCTGTAGCCAAATAGTTGTTTCACTGGGAGTTAATTTTTTTTTTCCTCTACCCGATTGTGGCTCCATCTTGTGCACTTGATATGTTACTGTGAATTCTTGAAATGCCACTGTTGCAGTCTTAAAAGGAGTGATTTGCATAATGGTCTTTTGTTTGGGAGTTTTTATAGAATGTCAGTCTTGTTTTACCCATACTGAGTTCTGATACATTAAGTGACGGTGAATTGAATGTTCAAACAGATCTGAAAACATAAGTCTAGGCAGTCAGTTGAGGTGTCAGTGTAAAACTTCACAGTCCTGCAGTCACCTGCTGTCTGTCTCTGCAGGCATCTGCATTCTTTAGCTGATAGTACTGCTTGTTATGTGCCTGTCCCATGAACCCTTGATTTAACTACCAAATCACTAATTCCTAAGTTGAACAATGACACTGGCTGTTCTTTCATCTGCTCCCTGTTCTGGCAGGCAAATTACATGCAGAAATAGTTCAGATTTCCAAGGCTACATCTCTTTGCTGTTGTGTAATCTTTTCCTCCTAAATATTTGATTTCCAGACGTGCATGCAGTACTTCTAAGCCAGTGGGAATATTCATGTAACACTGAGTTTACTGTCAAAACAGCAAAAGTTTGTTTTTTTCTGGGACCAGACAATTCTGCTTGTAAATAACTCCTTTCTTTTGTTGCATTAGTCACTAAGTGTTTTAGCGTTATAAATAATTTCTCTGAGTTTACTTTAATTTCAAGATTTAAGTTGTTTTTTGTTACGTCTACCCTTTCTGTGGTTTGCTGAGGGTTTGCCAATGTTGCTATGAAGGAAGAAACTTAAAACTTGTGTATTATAGAAACCAAGCTTGGTTTGGGAGCCTTTGCTACCTACATTTAACTGTGCATTCTGTAAGTGATTTTTAATTAGTTTTTTTGGTAACTTTATTGGATGCAGGGCTGCCCACACTACCTTAGGAAAGTGATGAACAAAGATGGTTACACAGGAAGAAAACAAATTCCAGTTGTGAAACTAACTGCACCCTTAATTTCCTTTCTTACTTTGTTGTCTTTCTCTCAATTTAATTTTTAAGGTAGTCCTCAGACAGTTTATCAAGTTCACCGGAGTCCAGGGAATTCTGACAGTAATACTTACCAGAGTATTCAGCAGATGAGACATGCAGTGGGAAAAGAGATAAAAAGTGAGAGAACAAGAGGAAATGGTAGAGAGTTAGCCTTCACCCTCATGCCATTGTACGCTCTTGGAGTTGGAGTGTTTGCAGCATATAAACTTCTTAAGGTAAGTCATAGAAAAAAGCATTAAATTATTGAAATTAGAAGGAAATGTAACTGCTTGGCTTTTTGTTTGTTTTTCCAGTTTTGAGCCCATGCATGTAGTTGTCTGAAAGCCATTTCTTGCACTCTTGACTTTGAATGTGAAGTCCAAAGTTAAAATTTTAGCATATCTAATTTTTCCTTATGAAGGCTTCTGACTTACCTGTTTTTAGACACTTGAAGTGAGAATCTTTCTCACTCCCCGACCTCAGATAATAATCTGAGAACCTAAGCAGTGCTGCTACCTAAGGCAGTAACTTAAGCCTCATCAGTATTTCACTTTCTTTTCATTCTTCAGAATGAGGATTCCTGCAGAACAATAGTCTTAGATTAGCAATTAGCTAGAATAGTGACTGGTCTCGACCTGTTATTTGGACTTCTCATTTGATCATGCGGCTGTAACATAGATGAAATGGGATACCTTTTCTCCCATTTGTAAATTAAAAAAGAACACATGATCAGTTGTTTTTTAAAAATAATCAGTCTGGATATGTATTATTTATAGTTAGTGGTACTACAGCACTTGCAATACTGAGAGTGCACCTGGAATATTTTAGCTTGCCTTCAGAGGAAAAAAAAATGAACAGAAACAGGACTGGAGACAGCATCTTAATTTCTGTGGTCAGTTTCATATTATTTCACATATGAGGAAATTACCACAGCTTAGCGAGATGAACATAGAGGCTGCACAGTTTAGTATAAGATTTAAAAATCATAAACCCAATATTTTGGGTGTTAGGACATCTTACACTTGTAGGGTTAAGATGTACATTTTTTTATAATAGTATCTTCATTACTTCATGGTAGGCGACTGGATCCAGTAACCTAGGATTTAAATGTAAATGTTTTTGCAATAGGATATTTGTTACTTCAAGAAAGAAGTTCTATCTTTAGTTAACTATAGGAAACTGGATCCAGTAACATAGGAGGTTCTTTCTGTTGCTTTTTGGAAACTGGAGTTGAAATAGCAACTGCTTTCTTTGACAGCTTCTGTCAGTCATGTTGTCATTGCTTAAAATCATAAATGCTAGTTTAAGACAGGAAGATGGTGTCACAGAAGGAAAGTTTCATTAATGTATGTGCTGGTTTGAAAGCAAACCAGTGAGAGACTCCAAGTCAGAAATACAATTTAATAGGAAAAACAAAGCAACAAATGCAAAAGTACAAAAGGAAACCACTGACAGAGTCAGAAAGCAACCTGACACCTTGTCAGTCAGGGTGTAGTAGTAGTCTGGTTAAATGGTGCTGCAGTCCTCCTGGAGTGATGGGTCTGTTGGAGCAGTGATCCTGCAGATCTGGACTTCACCTGAAAGTCCAGTGGTAGCTCTTGTCCTCTGGGAATCCAGTAGGTAAGGGCTCCTGTGCTGGTCCAAACCCCAGCTTATATCCCTGTGGGAATGCTTGGCTCCTCCCCTTGGGGTGAAGCATCTCACAATGGGACTATGTCACTCTGTGCATGCCTGGGTCTCAGACAGCCCATTAAACAGAGACAGCCTCTGAGGGAGCCATCAGGGATGAGTAGGAGATAGATCACTGCCCCACGTGCTTTAACAGCTTGTGGAGACATTAATAGAATACATACCATTGGTTATACCCTACATTGTAACCTAGGAAAATGTAACACATTTTTGTGGTGGTTGTTTACTTTCAGTAATTTTCTAAATGCATTTTTGTTTTTAATACATAAATAGTGATGAACTCTTTTAACACAATTGTATTTATTAAAGATGAAGTCACAAGAAGAAAGTCTCTCCAAAAAGGAAAAAAGTACAGAAGACAAGGCAAAGGAAACAGGTAAGATACCCATTCAGAATGCATATGTTCAAGAAAAATGCTTATTTCCTGCTGGAACAAAGCTACATGTTTTCCTTGATTCAGTCTGGCTAAATGAGAACAATCTTTTAAGTTACTTAAGAGCAGTTAAGAACCTACAAAAAACCCACATTGTTATTCTGTATATTTGAAACACTTGTTTGATGTCTCTTTGAATACTTCATATGGTAATACTCTTTACAAGAGCCATAGTAATATTGTGTGATTCTCTGCCTTTTAATGTTTGATGTTTTTCTCACTTAAGATATGTTCAGTTTTCTTCAGTAGAATATGTTTAAATAGGATATCTTAAAATACTATAATCTTTAGATTAGCAGAGTATTTTAAAAGAATATAATGATCTGATTTAAAATTGAACTGTATTGATAGTAGAGCAGTATGTCTAAAGAACTGTTAGATTTCTAGGCCAACTTAGAGATCTGTCAAAAACATTAAATGTTTATAGAAAAGAGAGAATAAATGATGCAATCTTTTTCTTTATGATACAGAGTACTTTTGACTAATTCAGTCTATTCAGTACATACATACAGAAAATATTTCTTTTTTTTAACAGAAGTTATGGCACATCAAAGTTGAACTGTTTTCTCCCTGTTTGCTTTTTCGTCCCCTTGTAAGAGACACATTTTTAGTTAATTAAACAACTAGCAACCTCTTTTGGTGTCTCTGTACACCAGATCTGTAATCAGGTTTAGCTGTGATTTGCTACACTGCCTGCTTACCATCCTTGCATGTTGCATTCTTCTTTCTTCAGAGTCTAATAGTATTTTAGGAGGAGTTACTCCTCCTGACTCTAGGTGCATTAAGCATTGAATGCGTTTGTGAGATGCGAGAAGACAAATCCATGGGAGTATATTAAGTGTAAACACAGTAGCTGTACCTCAGGAAGTCTTGGAACTGCACAGTTTTTGAGACTTGGGAAGGTGAGCTCCACACTGTGGCTCAGTGTTTACAAAGGTGTCTGTCTGAGCACTATGGGAGATAATTCACTGTGTGAGAAGGACTTCTGTTCACAAATAGTAAGGCTTCTGTTATTACCTCCACCTCTCCCTTTTCATACTCTAGAATATTATAGATCAAATAAACTTCCTGGTTTTGAATGTGCCCAACAAAAATATGAATTAATATCCTTCTGGTATTGTAAAGATGTAGCTTACAATGTTCTCTCTCCTATCCCCCTTCCCCTTTCCTTCTCCCTCTGCCTCCCTCTTTTCATATTTTCCTCTTGTTTGTTCTTGTTAGAGCATCAGCTTTTAGAACTGGAGCAACATCTAGCACAGACAGAGAAAATGTTAAATTCTTTATTGACTCAGCTGGATCCACTTTCAAACTGGTGAGTGTTTCTAAAACATCTCAGTTAGTGTTGTTTTCTGTTAATTGCAATTCTCCAACATGTTAACAAAGAGTTTTTAAAATGATCATTGTATGTAGGTAAGGAACAGTGTCTAGGAACCTTCTTTAATTACTTAACTTTTCTGTAGCCTTTTGCATGTAATACCTCTTCTGCAATTTGTGTTCTTTTCTACGGACACTTCTCATCTCTTCTTCACCAAACATAAATGCAAAAGCTCATGTTACTGCAGCTTAACAAGTTCAACTTTAATGCTGACCAAGGAGGCTAATACTAAAAATATACGTAAGCCCAGTAGCATTTTTAAGCCCTTGTGGGAATTAGATTTCTGGTAACAGAAAGAGGTTTTTCCTTTAGATATAATTAGAAGACAAAATTAGTTAAGGTCTAGCTGCTAATTTTTGTTTTGAAATGAACCTGTGAAGTGATTGTGTTTATTTCGGGGAACTATGACTTCTCTATTGTAGTGTGACAAGGCAATAAGAAATATAAACTCCTTGTAGTTTTAGAGAAGTTCTTTTCTTGAGAAACTAGGGCCTTAGTCATCTATTATAAATAAAACTATCCACGAAGTACATTTTGTGTAGACAGACATCCTTCAAGAAACTCAGGTTAAAACATGTTCCTTTAGTGTATTTCTGAAGTTAATCTGTGCTGAAAGTATCAAGCAGCAACTTCACCAACCAATTTGCCAAAGAAATTTCTGGTAGTGATGGGGAGGAGAGTAAAGAAAATCTGAATTAAACAAGAAAAGCCTCTAAACTGTAAAGCTCTGTATTGGGCATTGTTGTACTAAAACTAGAATTACTTTGGATATTTGTTTCTTTCAGTAGTCATCACTCAGGCTGGGCCAGTTGGGGCTCCAGTGTTAGAATTCAGTGACTAGATTACTCAGTGTGTGTACATGACAGGCTCTCCAGTTCTCAAAAGACAGTTCTCAGGGGAAAGCTTGACCTAAACATGTTGCAAACTTAACTATGGTATTTACCCATGGAAGGAAATACTGCAATCTCGTGTATTACTAAGCACTCACTTCTAAGATAATCTTTTAGTTGTTAACATTTGTCTTATTTTCTAGTGTTAATGCTTTAGCATGTGAGCAGAAAGATGAAATAATGACCCAGCTCCAATCAATTAGACGACTGATGAAAGAAAGTGGATTGGATAACTCAGAAAACAAGATGAAAGGTACTTTAATTTCTAGATAGATAGATAATCAAGTGGTTTATATTTTAAAAGAATAAATAGATCTTAACTATAGTAATGTTCAGCTATGCATCTTAGGTAGTTTCTGTGGAATTAGTTTTATTCTGGATTAGAACCATTTTTTCTGTTTGAGGTGTATCCAGTTTCAAATTTTTGATACATAGGTGCTAAAAGACATTGAACTGGGATGGACCAAAGAGTCACATTCTGCTGTGTTAAAACAGGCTTTTGGATTGTCAGTTCCTAAGCAGTCTGTTAGTACTGGATTAACTTTAGTCTGAGGATTCTCAAGTGAGGACCTCTGAGGCTGTGGGTAATGCTTGCATCAAGCAGTAAACAGTAAATTGTGTAGTAGTTTCAATTGAAGACTTCCAAGAGCTGCATAGTAGCCCAAGAGAAATCTTAGGTCTTAAGAGTCGTTCACTAGAAATCTGACGAGTTTTTGCATTAGTTGAGTCTCAGTAAAAGAGAGGAAGCAAATAAAAGGAAATACTTCTAAACTGACTCTGAAATTTAGAGCCTTTCTATTAAACTTTAATATTGATTTTTTTTTTTTGTGAATTCTAAGATCTCGGCCACATTTGTAATGAGAAACTTGAAGATCTCATTCAATCATTTGCTGAACATTCTCAAGAGAAAGAAATGGACAACAGAGAAGATGACAGTAATGAAGATTTGATGGAGGATATTGATAGTGATTACAAAATAGAAGAACATGAATTACATGATGAATGTCAAATACATCAGTTGGAACCAGGTGTTGTAGAAGACCAAGAAATGATAAACAGAGATGCCATTGAATCAGAAGAGGGACTGAGGAGACGTAGTAGATATGAATGGAATCTGCATATGAAAACTTTTGATAACTTATGATTTTTTTCAATAATGTTGTATGCACTTTAAACTGTTTTAAATGAAGTTATGTGCACTGCTATATGCTTTAAGAAGAAGGGTGAAACATTGCCTGTGCTCCTACCTATGGCATTTCTGTAACTGACTTCAGTGGCAGCAGAATTTTACTCAGGTTGTTTACATATTTTTTCTATTTATTTTTTCCCTCTAGAGATATTTCTGTACTCTGTATATAATGCAGTGTAATTATATCTGATGCTTCATTAAAATATTAGAATATCTTTTAATTGAGACTATAAAGAATAGGTATTTCATAAGTGTTTTGTAATTAGTAAGCATGATGCCACTTGAACTGTGACTCTTGAGTTCATTAAAGAGCATGCACTGATGAATTTAGCTCTTTGTGGAAAGCTTTTCTCTAGGGGAGTATGAAAAGCAGTATGGGTTAAGTCTTCAAGATTCATTTTCTTTTTCTTTATTTGCAGAGAGAAATTTAGCCACAGGCACCATATGAAAAGAATTATGTCTGAGTCTGCAGTCTCCTCAATTATGTATAGTTTTGTATGTCAGTTTAAACCCCAATGCATTACTCTGGATCATTACACCTGTCACTGGTTAAACTCAGTAGCTGTCTAATAACTGACTGATACCCATTAGTACTGTGTCTCTATTTCATATTTAACACAATATAATCTGGCCTTTTGATTCATTGTAATACACTTACATCAGAATTAACAGATGCATTGCTATGTGTCATTCAAGAACTGGGAGGCACAGGGGTGTCTTTTTTCAATGTGACAGTGGCCTTTTTAGGTCAGTATTAAGAAAAGCATTTCTTTGCCAGAATCATTTTTGTCCATACCTTTATTTTTTTCTGGTTTTTTTTTGTTCACTTAACACCCATGCCGATGGTACTGCCAGCCAGCCTTTAATGACAGGACTTGCCCTAGAGGGAGGTCTGACAGTACAATGCTGTTAAATTTTGTGTTTTATAATTGCATATCTTTTAAGTAGGCCAGTTATAATGCCTGAACTCTTTTGCCATCCTCATTCTTACAAGAAAATAGCATATGCATTTGTTTTTATGGAGGAAATGTACTGTACTTAAAGGGACTAAATCTATTACCGTGTCACTCACTGAAATGGAATGAATTGTTCATTCTGGTGTAGAAACATGGTATGTCTTTGGTTCTAAAACTGGATCTCACAGCCTTGGAAGCAGCAGCATCCAGAAATACATCTTTAGCATCAGTGTGTTAGTAGTTTTAGGGTGAGATTTTGCCTAACTTTGGAGAAGCAATTGACTGCAAAGCCAGAGTTTCTCAGGAGATGACAGATTCTTCCCCAAGACACAACGGATGAATCAGAACTGGTACTTGGACACAATTTGATTTTTTAAAAATACCTGATGTTGGTCTGGTCATTCAGGACAACTGGAACGGTTTGAAAAAATCATCATTGCATATAGAGGCTTTTCTCTGAGATACCTAATAAATTAAAGTGAACTGAAACTAATTTCAAAGCCATAGATCAGAGGGAATGAAGGAATGGGAGGCAGGTGTGCTGTGATGCCGAGGTCATTGGGGGATGCAGGTCAGTCCTGCTGCCTTCCAGAAGCTGGTGGTGATGTCCTTTCCCTCAGGGTCTCCCTGCCTGGGACAGTGTTTGAATTAATCACTGCTGTGGATTTCACCTCCACTAGTCTTCGGATGCTGCTGCTACTCGAAGACTTTGTCCCGAAGGTGTTGAGTGTTTTGAAGTAATCGCTGTGTTTCTGACCCAGGACTACAAACATGCACCGTGAACCTTTTCCCTGCTATTGTGGTCTCTGATTGCAGCTGTCTGGGTTTGTCGTGGGCAGACCTAGTGGTGAGCGCGGGGCGGGACAGCCGAGCCCCGAGCAGGCTGTTACTGCAGGAGCCGTTGGTAATTCCACTTCCCTGCTCTGCTGGGGCACACCTTGCGGCACCCCAGTGAGAAGCCTGGCTCAGAAGAGGAGGGTTTCTAGCCTAGCGAAGAGGAGGCTCAGGGATGACCTTATCGTCCTCTACAACTCCCTGAAAGGAGGTTGTAGTCAGGTGGGGGTTGGTCTCTTCTCCCAGGCAACCAGCAGTAGGACAAGAGGGCATAGACTCAAGCTCTGCCAGGGGAGGCTTAGGTTCGATATTAGGATGAGATTTTTTTTTTACAGAAAGAATAATCAGACATTGGAATGGGCTGTCTGGGGGAGGTGGTGGATTCACTATCCCTGGAGGTTTTCAAGATGAGACTGGATGTGACACTTAGTGTCATGGTCTAGTAATGATGATAGGGTTGGACTCAATGATCCTTGAGGACTAAATGATCCTTGAGAGTAGGATTGGACTCAATGATCCTTGAGGATCAACCCAGTTTATCCTATGATTCAGATTGGCCCCCCCTGCTGCAGCCGGGCTGGGTGCAGGCAGTAGCGCCCATGGGCACCAGGGAGACATGTCGGGGCTGCCCGTCCGTGGGACCACACCAGGACCCTGTGCCTCTCCTAGGAAGAGTCATTTTCATGGAGCTATTGGGCCAATAATGTTTATTTCACCTCTTACAGCATTGTTGTTTGTGATAGAAGTTGTTTCAGTTTGTGACATTCCATCCCCTCAGTGCCGTCAGGTGGGAGGATGCTCGGTTCCAGGAGAGCCTTGAGGCCGGGCAAGGGCAGTGGCTCTCCGTTACGTGTGCCCTGAGGAAGGGGCTATGGCTGGAGGGCTGTCTGTTTGGTAAGTGGTTGTGTGGCTACCTCTGAGCAGGCCCTGCTGCTGTGCTTCTGCTCAGCAAAGGAAAGAGCCCTTGGGAATTGAAACCTGCTCAGTAGGTAGAAATGCCATCAGCTTTTGTGGTAATAGTTTAAAAATGGAGTGTCTGATTGCTGGGAACTAAATGATAGGCATTTGGTTCAAAACTGGCTGGGTGGAAGGAGAAACCAGCTGAGCAAGAGGTAGCATGCTGACAGAATGTGGCTCTGGAGCTCTTGGGGACTGGCTGTGTTAGGAGTGCCCTTACATCTTCCTGAAAATACCTGTTTGCAGGGAATGGTGCAGCAGAGTGCCAGGCAGCAGCTGTAAGTGAACAGTACAAAAGGCTTGGTGCTGTCAAGGGGTAGCAAATTAGTAATCCTGGTATGAGAAGGTATCGAGGAGTGTAAGGAAAAGAGGGAGTTAAGCTTGAGACAAAAACGTAAATTTGAACAGGAATCTGGTTAAGCATTAGTGGGGAAAGGCTGAAGCTAAGAGGCAGTGAAAAAGGAAAGCCAGCAACATTTCATAGCTTACTGAAGACAATACCCAGATTCTTTCTAATGCAATAATGTTTTTTGGGGTTTTTTTTCAGAAGTACTTATATAAAAATATATGCTTTTCTGAATAGTATTTTCTGGTTTGCTGTTTGTTCTGAAACTGGTCATTGAATTTGCATGGATTTGGAAGTCAAAGGAGTTGCTGCTTCCCCTTGAAGGCAGGCTAAACTGTCATCAAGGGGGAAGAACCGTCGGGTATGTTAATGGAAGGCTTGTAGTTATTTTCCTTCCTTACTTTGGTATTTTATCAAATACTTTCATCATACTTCAGGAAGGTCTTAGTTTGAGCTTAGAATCCATTGTGTAGAGAAGAAAACTTAAATTACTTTTGTCAGAAAGGGGTGGTTTAGTAAGACAGCTTCTTGAATGACAAAACTCCAGTAAAAACAGCAGTCCTAAAATAACTGATACTCAGAGTACTTAATTGTGTGACTTTAGGAATGAACTAGTACTTGCAATTAAGAGCAACAGAGTCTTGAACCTGTATTGTGTCCTGTCTCAGGCTGTTGCTGAGGCTGGTAACAGGTGTGTCTTGTGGTTTTGTTTCGCAAGACAGCAACAAAGTAAAGCAACCCCCAAAACATAATTTGAAAAGGCAGGATTTCAGATTGACATGTAAAATGAATCTCAGTCCTCTCTGTTCAGTATGAGTGGGAATTTTGTTTTCCAGGTATGCCTAATAGTCTACACTTTGAGATAAGGTGAGTGTGCAGCCCTCACAAGGTCGTATAGCAGAAACTTTCAGGGTAACCTTTAAAAGTTGGTAAAAATACGACCTTGGATTCTGAGGGCCATTGATTTTCTTATGGCTAAGGTAAATATTATTATTGTTAGTAACAGTTGATTTTTCTTAGATACTGTGTACTTTATGTCCATAAACTAAAGTTAATTGCTAACCCCCCCTCAACCCCCAAGCATCCATCTAACTTCCTTATTTGTTGCATGACCCCATAGGAATTTTTGGAGTTTGACTGCCAAGTTGCTGTTTTTCATTTGATTTGGAATGGAAAAGGACATTTTGTAGATGTTATCACATTGGTGTTACAATGTTACCTTTTAAACAGATTTTTGAGAAATACCTGTGCACAACAAGAACATTTGGGACATTTAATGTAGGTTGTAAAAGAAAAGAAATGTCAATTTTTCTCTAATCTCTCATCCCTTTTTTTTCCTTCTTGAGCAACTAAGTTTCGAAATTTAGACTCCCTAATCCATGTGATTCTTGGTAGTTTGCAAAGATAAATCTTAGAATTATGTTGAAACCATGTGCTTCACCCCAGACTTCAGGATGGCTTTTGTTTGCTCTGTTCCTGATTCAGTGACTTCTGGAAAAGGAGTTACATTAAGACTTTAACATCTAGAATGTGGTCTGTTCTTTATCTCATCACAGTTGAGACAGAACAGAAAAAATATATACTTGAGATTTAATGCATTGCATTTAGTCTTAAGAATAATGCATGACCACACGGTGGCTGTGTTCACTACGTGCGCCCTCACTGCACAGAAACTGCTGTTCAAACCAGGATACTCTGTTTTGAAGGCACTAGAGGGTAGTGTTGCTGAACTTCTTTTTCATGAACAGGCTATAAGGGTGTATGGCAAGAAAGGAGTTACTGTTCTGTGACTGCTCTGAAATCGTGAAAGATGTTCAGGCACTGCTGGAAAGAGGGATGTCTGCTCAGTTCAGGCAGTGGTGCTAAGATCTCTGAGCTGCAAAGTGTGAAAACAAAGATGTTGGCCCTGGTTCTGTACATTACTGAGCCACATTTTTTTTTTTCAGATTGAGAGGCCAGTCTGGGGAGTTGTTACTGCATGCTTTCCCCTGTCAAGCAGCCTTCCCTAGAGATTTGCTGTTAGCTGTTTTCAGAAAGCCACAGTGAGGTAGATGAAGCTTTGGCTTGAGTCTTTTTTTCTTGCCATGTTCTTGCTCAGTTGAGTTTGAACATAGGTGTGGTACACAGCCATGCAAAATAAACTGTGTGAGCTGCCTAGTCATCATTGTGTACTGTTATAATAAAGCTGAGATGAAACAGTTATACAAAATATCAGGGGTTCTTTGGGGGCTGAGCTAGCTCCTTGTAAGCCTGCTGGCTATTAGTGTTGTGGCTTTGGTTTAAGGTTGGTTCCCAACCAACAAGGACAATGTGACCTAAAACCTTGTGAGCAGTGATGGTACAAAGCCTCAGGAGCATGGATTATTTTTACTGTATTATTAATAGCTGATGTGGATGCTATCTGGATTCTTAATGGCTGGAAATCTTTCTGTCATGATGAATATTCAGTCCTTTAGTCTCATGACCTGTAAAAATCACCTTTCAATGAGTTTTTGGTTTTTTTCCTCTTAGTAGCATCTTAGCCAAGTATGTCGGACAGATACTTTGAGCTATTGATTTTAAATATTCCAGGGGAAACTGAAAAGGAGAACTATGTTTTTTAATCCTGATCCCCTAGGTATGTAACAATGTGTCATTATTTTAGGGCTGGAGACCTGCTACACAATCTAGTCACAGTCCTTGCCCACCAGAGTAAGTTTGCTTCTATTTCTGATCAGCTTATTTACTTGTGCATTATTAACACCATGAATTTACATTTCTATTGATGTGCAACTCGGTGTTCCATAAAATTTATCATCATAGGTTTATTTTCTATAATTTATATTTGGCCAAGATGGCCATGCTGGGAGGGATGAAGGGTCATTTTTGGCTGCCAGGGTACTCTGCTAGTGTGGAAGAGAAAAAGCTTAGTGGCCAGTTCCTGAGCAAGAGGGGCTAATGGGGATTTGCAGAGTAGGCCATATCCAGTTGCAGGGAAATTTTTGTGAAGGAGCTAATAATATCTAATAGGCAGTTTGCTTTTAGTGTAATTGAAAAATAAGAGAACATCTTGCTATTAAAATTGCTTTAACTTCCTGCAGGGTGCCATGCCTAGATCTAGGGAGGCTGGGAGAGTCTGATGAAGAGGTAATTATAAATTAATTCTGTCTTGAATAGTTTTTAGAATTCACGTGTTGCAGGAGTTTATAAAAATATCAGTCTGAATATAAACCAATTATGATTGCTTGTCTTTTTTATTATTTTTTATGTGATTTTAGGATGGGGACTCTTACATACTGTTCCGTCAAAGTTGTCCTCATACATGCCAGCTAGATTCATCTTCAGACTGGAGAACGTCATTACAAACGCCATATGCACAGCATCAACATGTCAGTCTGTCACTACACATATTTTTATAATATGTCCCTTCAGTAGCTATTTAGAAAAGCATACATAGCCTTTTTTATACAAGTTCTATTTTTTTTCTTTTGGCTAAGCTCATATCTCCAAGTGCTATTGGTCAAAAATATTTTTTGGCAAAGTTTTTTTACTGAGAAGCCTCTAGAATATTTCAAAACCCTATTTTCTTGTATACCTTAGCTCTTCTTTGTTGGTTGATACGCTTATCCTTCTCTTGTACGTATTTTAAGAGCTAGATTAATAGCTAGCCTAATTAGCAATTCATCAAACCAACTGAAAAATATAATAATATTGAGGTAGCAGGTAACTTTGGTTTATCTTTGCAAACAAAGTGGAATTTAATAATAAAGCTAAGATTGGTAGTAGTCAGTAAGTGTATGATCGAAGGCAAAACCCAAGTTTACAAAGACTAGTATTACTTCTGTGGAAGAATAGATGTTTCCAGTGAATAGAAAACTTTTGGAGTTATGTGCAGTCATTTTATAGCGTTTTCCTTAAGGCCATTGTCTTTAAACCAGAACTATGACATTAGCTTTGGAATTACGTTTGGTTTATCAGAGCTGTTTTATTGTTAAAATGTCCTGACCATGTTAGCATTTTTTTTCCTCTGAATGACTAAGAAATTTAATCACCACTAATCTTAGGTGCTTTATAAGGAAAATCAGTAGCCCAGATGCTAACATTCTGGCTTATAGTAGAGTACATTATTGTTCAGGTTTAATATCCACTATAACATTTAAGAATTAGTTTAGTTATTCAGTTATTGCAGTTCCCCGAGAGTAGGAGAAGTTTGCCTTTGACCTATTATATCTGCATTAAATTTGAAGAAGTGAATGTGACATTTTTTTATTTGATTATGAAACATCACTTTCTGGTTTCGTTTGAACAGGTGCCTAGAAAATTTTGTCAGAACAAAATAGAGGTAAAGTAGCTTAAAAAATACAGACTGACAAAAAACATTAGCAGTTCAATATTATGATATATGGTCTGAAAATGTATTATATTATAACTTCTTTTATGTGACAGGAATTAGCTTGTTGGAGAAACTATTTTTAATCTGCTGTCATTCCATCAGTATTTTGAGTGTTTCATATGTGATAATTAAAGGGAAAATGCTAAGTACCACATACAGTAGTCTACTGCTTGTAGTCTTTGTATGCTCAAGAGATTAGATGTATAGAACTTTAAACAAATCCAGGAAGCATGCTACCTACATGATGATTTTCTGTCATGATCATGCACCATACATAATCATGGCAAAAATCTTACAAATAGTAATATGTTTTCCTTTGGTTAGTGTGTGTCACGGTTTAACCTCAGCTAGCAACTAAGTACCACGCAGCTGCTCGCTCACTCCTCACCGGTGGGACGGGGTAGAATTGGAAGAGTAAAAGTGAAAAAACATTCGTGGGTTGAAATAAAGTCAGTTTGATAGGGAAAGCAAAAGCCACATACACAAGCAAAGAGAAACAAGGAATTAATTCACAGCTTCCCACAGGCAGGAGGTATTGCGTCATCTTCAGGAGCGCAGGGCCCATCACGGGTAACGATTACCAGGGAAGACAAATACTGTAACTCCAAATGTCCTTCCTTCCTCTTTCTTCCCTGAGCTTTATGTACTGAGCATCATGTCATATGGTGTGGAATATCCCTTTGGTCAGTTGGGGTCAGCTGTTCTGGCTGTATCCACTCCCATGCACTCCCAGCCTCCTCACTGGTGGGGTGGTGCAAGAAGCAGAAGAGGCCTTAGTGCTGTGCAAGCACTGCTCAGAAATAATAAAAACATCTCTGTGTTACCACCAGTGTGTCCAACATAAATACAAAACATAGGCCTACACAAGATACTGTGAAGAAAATTAACTCTGCCCTAGTCTTAACTAGCACAGCATGCAGGAAATGCCCTAGCTTATCAATGTTACCTCTTTTTTGAGGAATTAGAAAATATACTGATTAAAATCAATTTTTTCAAAAATATTTATATTATGTAAACCTAAGAAATATTCTACTGAGTGTTTTTAAAAAACTCAGAAGTGTAGCTTGTGGTAAAACCAATTATGAATCAATATATGCATGAGCTATGCCCCTTGAAACAAATAATATAGTGACTTGTAGGCAGAACTTCAAATTGTCTGGAGTTCAGGGTATATTTGCTAAGATCACAATTTTGTATATTTCTCTATATATCCAAATGGTTTCTCAATGTGAAAAAAATGGCATTTAAATAAAAACTGAAATGTTTAAGTGTTGGGTTTTTTTGTTTTGGTTTTTTTTTTGGTTTTAAATAATGGACTATGTCCTACTCCTCAGAATATGTATGTGCCCAACATAGGTGTTTGTGCATGTCTTAAGATGTAGCTCTAAGCACATAACTACAGATAGGTTGTTTTCCTCTGTATTGCCCTGTAAATGTGCAGTGCAGACATACTTGAGTTGCTATACTGTTTTTAGGTCTGGATATTTAGGTCTGGATGCCTATAATTTCACTGCTTGCTTTGCCATTTGTTTTAAAACAAAGTTCATACATAAAATTCTGTCTAGCTGCAGGAGTGCTAAGGGAAGGTCTGTATGGCTTAGTTTCTCAGGGTCTTTCTCCCTTTCTTGTCTGCTTTCCTTTATCTCTTGTTGCTTCTTTCTGCCTTCATTATGTCTTAAATACTAAGTGTTCAGTGTGCTGGAATGTATTTTCTGTTCACTTACCCTGTTTTGCTCTCCATCTCTCTCTTTTTGCCTGACTTCCTGCCCTCCTTCTTTTTCGTGAAGAAAATTTTTCAAGCTGTTCTAAAATATTTTAATGTATTCCTCTGAGTGGCCTTTATTTCTGCATTGCTTGCTTCTGGGGCCCTGACCAAGCATTCCTTTAGCAAGATATATTCCAGCTTCTTCAATAACTGTGTAAGTAAATTTTCCCAAAATAGGTCATTTTTGGAAGAAAAATTTAAATATAGTCTTATCATTCAGGAATTAACCAGTGAAGGGATGTGAATTCTCTTTTGAAAGAGAAAGTTGGCCTTCCAGAAACACAAATACTTCTGAGTTCTGAGAAATGTTTTTCTTGAGCAGAACTGTTACACTGCTCTTGGCAAGATGAGTTCTGTCAAGTAGATGTGCTAGATAAGGCCACATTAGTTTCATTAGCACTGAAGCAATATAACTTAAACATTGAAGGTGTTAGTTATTTGTGGAGAGAAAATAGAATGGCATCTTGGCCTTCTGTCATTGCTGCTGTTTCTACTGTTCCAAGCCTCTAACGTGTAGAGACCTGAAATGGGCGTAAACTTAAGAAGGTGCTTAGCCTGTTCAGATGATGCTCTAGGGAATCAAGTCTCAGTACTCATACTCATTTGCTCTACAGGAATATTAGAACTTCTGACTGAAAAACATCCATCTGCCCATTTTCAGCCATCCAAAATCAGATGTCAGAATTTCCATTTCAGTGATCTACAGCATTATGATATAGGGTGGAATCACTGAATGTCACTTCTTTCTCTAAAAGTGGTATAAAACCACTTAAGTGTGCATTTTTTAGATTAAAAAAATGGTAGAATTTGAAGAACTCGATGAAAATGAACCCTGAATATGCAGTTATGCTTGCTTTTTTTTAAAATTTTGAAGCATAGTATCAAGAAGTTTCAGAAGTTACACTGGATAGGAATTATAATAATGATGTTTTCATTCAATAGATCAACCAGAGGTTTTTGTATTGATTACTCTTTGCTTTAACATTCTGTTTTGGAGCAGAAGACAGGACCAGAAAATCTGCCATCCCAAACAGACAAATGTAAACTGAATTATTGTCAGTATGATGCAGATATGAAAGAAGAACATAAGCAGTATTCTCAGAGAGTTGCAGAAAAGAAGAAAGAACACCTCCAGTGTCCAGATGCTTCCATGAAGATAGCAAAGCAGTAATTGCATTTTTAAATAGAAAATGTGCATTGGTATTTTATTACACTTTGGAGAGGTTTGCACTTGTGTGTAATTAATTTCTTCCATGTTTTTATTGTAAAGAAATAAAAATGTGCAATTTCAGCATCCATTGTTGAGGAGGAAATTAAATATAGGAAGCTTGTTTCAGTTGTTTCAGACTGAGAAACTGAGATGCTCTGAGAATTTAAGTATGCTTGTATTCTCTGGTAACATTTCTCTCATAGTGCACCTCTAGCATCAACATGAATATTAGCATGATTGGTAGGGAAGAATTTACAGCCTACGAAGATGTAAGACAGTGGGAAGATCTCGGTAATGTTATTTCCAAAACCAGAAATTCATTCAAGCTTTATTTTTTTTTAAATACAGAAGTATTTTAATTATTATTCTATTAAATCATGACTGCATATAGGACTTACAAAAGGAGAAATGAAAGATGTAATCTGTCCCTTAGAGAACTATTAACACTGAAGATGGAAAGGAATATGGGATTAAAATAATGAAAGATCTTATCTGTACTCTTTGCTTTGATATTGTATAAGATTCAGTACAGTTGAGCTGCAAGCTGTATTAATGCTGCCAGATTTCTTCCGTGTTTTTAAATTAAAACTAAGATGCAAAGAAGGGAAGATCAGTGGTGAGAAACTGTAAAACAAAGGGGTGAAAACCCCTGAACCTTCCTCTTATTCTGGAAGAGATAGTGGAGAAGGATGTTTGAACAAGGCACGATGGATTGCTGCAGGTTTAAGGAAAGAGGAAACACAGAAAGCAACAGCTGTGAGGACTGGTCGAATGCTAGACTCTACAGAGGGTAGATGACCATTTTAGAATCTTAGTGAAAAGTTAAATATGCAGATGTTGAGGGAACTCAGCACTGTGCTTATTGCTTTTCAGAGAAAAGGTTTGATGTAGAGCAATGAATTTACTGATTTTACTTGCTTAGCGTTCAGTAGAATAAAAAGAGAAGGTTTTGTATAAGAAAAAGATTGTTTCACATATTGATGTTAATTTTTACACATATTGTTGATTACTTTAAAACTGCTTTCTCCTCCTATAGTCATGGTTCTAGTGTTCAGATAAAACTTGGAGAACCTGCAAAAACCTATAAAGAAACATTCTGTGAATAAGAGTTAAATGCAAAAAAAAAATCTGTTGTTTTGTGGTTTAATTTTATGTTTAATGGCAGATACGCTTGTCTGTTCTGAGGATTTGTTGTAGGGTTTTTTTTTATGATTCCACTCTCATGTACTAGTCTGTACCACTGTCATGGCCTCTATTTTCAAGGAGTGGCTTCTTTTTATGCAGTACTGCAAGCCCATCAAAAGAGCATTTGCAGGACCAGCCAGGTTAATCTTAAAATAAAGAAATAGATGACAAGTGTATACTGGAACTGAAAAAGCAGGACTGTTTTTTTCTGGTGATTTTGGGTTCCAGAAAGATACTTGCTAAGCACTAGAAACATATGTGTCAGTTCTTATGGAAGACTTTAATATAATGTCTATCAGACCAATGTTTTGTGTTAGATATCATCACTGTCTGATTAGATTAATAAATCAAAACCTCTTTAGATTTCAATGCACTTATTATTTTAGCTGATTAGTGGAACTTGTAATAACTTTTCTGGAAAAAGCTGCTCATAGAGGACTAATGCTAACAAAACCTACCCTTTGGATTTCTTTCCCATGTTACCTCCTTCCCGACTTCTGTAAACACTTTGTCCGTTTTCTTCATATCCTCCATGTAGGAGATAATTCCATAATACCTTGGGATTGCTTTAAAAGTTGGTTAGAACCAGTTCAGCTGCATGCTTTGACTTTTTCCCAGCTAGACTGTATTTAACTTCTTTGCTGGTCACAAAGCAGCATCTCTGCAGTGGCGAGCTTTGAGCTATGTCCCTAACAGCAAATCCTCCACTTTTTCTTGGCTGTTCTTGAGCAGAACAGAAAAAGGAAGAGCTCTTGTCTTCTTCTGAGAGGTTCTATAGCCTGCCGTCTCTGACTCATTGCTGCTTGTAGGAACACAGTATCTTTGAGATATATTTTTTTATTTCAGTGTGAATGAAAGCTGGTAAATATTCAAAAGATACAAGGAAAGACCTAAAAGGCAAGATTTGTAAGTTCAGTTTCTGTAGAAAGCTAGACTTCAAAAATTCTTTTTTAATTAGCATGAAGTGGAAGAAATAGACACTTTAAAAAGTAAGGAAGCAAGAAAGCAAAGTACTTTTAAATAAATTAAGAAAAGCATGTGTGAGGTTTTTGTTTCTTTTTGATGCAGTTCATTAAATTAGATTTATGAAAAGAATGTACTTTTTGTATAGGGTGCACAGCTTGAACATGGACATAATGATGATCTTGTAGCTCTTGATGAGAAAGCTCTCCTGCAACAGTGCTACAGAAGCAAGCCCTATAATATGCAGCACAGTATAAGGAAAAGAGAAGATCTAAGTATTTTGTGGGTCTCTTCCAATTCAGAATATTCTGTGATTCTATGATTTCCTCTGATCTGTAGCTTTTAGCTGAACCTGTATTCCATGATCCATGGGTTGTATGATTCCATCAGCTCTGCTGCTAGCATTAAATGGAGTCAGCAATAACTTTGGCCAAGTCTTCAAGCTACAGGGACATAGCTTCTACTGTGTTTCTTTCTTCTTCTGTTTATCAGATTCTTTTCAGCACGCTATCTGGTTTGGGTTTATAAGCCAGGGCACATGGATTATGTTATGTTTTAACACACACTGCTCTGTATTATCACTGTATCCTCCTTTATGTTATACGTCTTAATACATCTGTTGCATCAGTTAATGGGTAAAGAGTCAGTAACTCAGAATAAAGCACCCAGCAGCTCTGATAAGTGCAAAAATTAAACATGAAAGCAAACTAAAAAGCCCCCTATGTCCTATAATTCAGAAATCTTTTAAGGCTTAAAATCAGCTTAGAATAACCAACAACTGATCTGATGTTGCGTTAGTCATTTGGTTTTTTTCTGATTTGGCTTTTTTTTTGGCTATTGCCAATCAGTATTTGAAGGCTGTCAATTCTACCCATAACATCTCTATGGAATTAGGAATTACCCTTACAGTTACCTGGTGCCTGGGAGTCAACATTCAGTTCTCTTCATCCATGAATAGGGTTGTCTACCTAGAATTTGGTTTGCACACAAGAATTGTGTGGAAAAAAATAACCAATTAGAAAAATATCTTAATTCAGATTACCTAAAAAGATATTGCATAAAAAAAGTTGCACAAACCTTCTCAGTAAGAATAATCTCTGTTTTCTCATATCTAAAAATTATAGTTTGGAAAAAAAAAAGGTAAATGCAGTGAAAAAGTTCAGTAATCTGGAAGATAAAGCAAAGAGAGATGCTGAGACCTGGTTGTTGCCACTGGCCTCCTCCATCCTGTGGCATCCTCTTGTGCTTTGGTTTCTTTCTGTGTAACAGGTGATGATCAACACCTGGACACTTTATAGTGAATGGCACGAGGTTATGGTTCAGTGCTACTCTAATACAAATAAGAAGATCATCATGTTAAATCCCCTTCCCCCTCAGGATGATATTTCCTGAAAGATTTTCCAGATTGGCTGTCTCAGCAGAAAATTATTGTGGCATGCAGAAAAGAAAAAACTTGCACTGAGATGAAGTCTTAAAAGAATTTTTTTACTAAATATTGCTGGAGGTTTAGTTTCATTCTCTGAATTGGAATCTCTGTCAACCATGAAACCTGGAATAGTGTGAGTTTCCTCAGGCACTGTTGTACTTACACAATGTATTGGAAACTGCAGAAATAAGGATGCTGTCAACTGAAATACTAGAATTCTCATATTTATTGACAACTAATATGCATAGAAAAATTGAGTGTGTAGCAGAGAATATTATACATCTATTTGTAATGCAAATAGAACTCTGTGACTTCTGAATGCTATCTTAAAGGGTAATTTGTGTGAAATGTCTGGTGTTATATATTTCATTTGCTGTCATTCAGTTTTTCATTGCAGGAGGATGTTGCTGCAGAGAGGAGAAAACAGGCCATAGTAGAACAAGTGATGGTGGATCAGTTATGTAGGTAAATGAATTTATAATGTAAAATTTCAGTTTTACCTACAGGACAATTTAGATCTGTGAGTGTGTGGCTTGCTCATCTTGTTCCAAGTCTTAAGCAGTTTTATGTAGTAGGATTATTTGCAAAAATTCTTTAAATGGAGCTGCCATATCCATGTTAGGGTTTTTTATGAAAATAATTTATAATTTTATGCTTGAACCTATTTTAAGGACTTTACAATAGCCCTAGTTCTCAGAAATAACCCTCTTGTACCTCAACAAAATATATGGATGCCTACTGTTACAAATTATCCTTCTTCAGTATTTATTGTGTTTTCTAAATATTTTAGCTTTATTAATGCTGACACAGCATCTTTCAGGTGTAAAGGAGTATTATATCAATGTTGGGCAGGTAGGAAAAAAGGCACAGTGATAAATCAAGGTTGTACAGTAAGGCTCTCCTACTTTCATTGCTATCACTTTAGCTCCAAGAAAGCATTGCTTCTGTGTGGAAAGATCCCTCTATTTTAAGCATGCTTTAATAATCCAGGCCTTTATGCAAGCTGTCTGGTTATGACAATATAGGAAGATGCAAGCTAGTTTAATATAGTTTCATGTTACTTTACACTTGCTAAAAATTATCCATGGGTGCCTCCACAGTGTGTTGTATTCTGGACTTAGTTTACAATCTCCATAGTCACCTATACTGATTTTCTAGCCCATCAGCACTTTGAGGTCGAAATGTCACACATCACCATTTTATTTTTTCTCTGTTTCCGTTGCTATGGCAGTTTGAATGACCTATATTGTTTAAAAGTCTGTTAATGCTTTTACACTATTTAAAAGCTGACATAAGAAGAAGGCTGCCTGAGGGAAACAAGATTGTCATGAAATACAATGTTAAATTCCAAGTGTCATTGTAGCAGGATTAAAATTATGGAACTATTCAGTGCAGAAATCCCCAGTTTTCAAATAAATGCTTAGCTTGTGTCATATGTCTTCAAAGATTTTTACAGAGATGATCTTAAAAATGCGCTGGTTGTGTTGAAGTGTTTCAGTACTACTGATGTTGCATTAAATGTACAACATTGTGCATCTTGGATAATGGATGCTCATTCTGTGTTTAACATCCTTCAGCTGCTTTGCCTTATTTCTTCCATGTATTCCTTCTCCTACTCTGAACCCTTCTGTTGATAATGTCAAAACAATATTCAGTAGTGCTGCAGCTGCATCGGGATGAACTTTTAATTTCAAAATTCTCTCTGTTTATGTTCCAAATATAACTGTGCCAGGACTGCCAAACAAATTGGTATCAGATGGCAGGATGTTAATCGGAGAAGATTAGTGCAAAATTGTTGCATGAAAAAACGTATTAAAGGAAACACAAAGGTGTTTTGAATTTTTTTTTTTTTTTTTTTAGTAAAGCCAGTCTGGCAGTTAAATCAGTGTAACTGATTTGTGCAAAGATGGATCTGTGTCAGTCAGGGAGCAAGTTTCGAACACTATATTATCTCTGCAAAATTATTTTTTTATGTCTGAAAATGAACCATTCAATAACATAACAAGCATCTCATTTATTTTTAAAGGGTCTCTTGTTTACTTGTCAAACTGATGCATAGTATATCAAAATGTTCAAAACCCAGTTCATCTGTTTCTTTTCTGCTTGATGGGACCCATCAGCTGTGTAGTCAGTGCTTTGAGGGAGAAAGTGCCAACATTTTTGTTGAATGCCAGATTGGATGGGGCTCTGAGCAACGCAACCTGGTCTAGGGGAAGGTGTCCCTGCCTATGGCAAGGGATTGGAACTTGATGGTCTTTAAGGTCCCTTCCAACACAGGCCATTCTAAGATTCTGTGATGATGTCACTGGTCAGTACTGCTAACTGCTGTCACTGATTTTGGAGGATGCCATGGATAAAGAATATCACTGATGGAATATTTGCAGAAATACTGGAAGTAATGAAACCTCCCCGCAAACCTTCCTAAGACAAAGATTAATTTTATATAAAGATATATAAAATATACTTTAAATAATACATATATACATGTAAAGTTACTACCTAGTAGTGTACTGCTAGAGTATTATTGCATACATTTGATTTTGAGTAATATACTTTAGAATTTGTAAAAACAAGCACAAAATTAAGCCCACGTATCTATGAAAGCTTAGTGGATAACCCCAAGGTTTTATTGCTCTGTTATTCTTGGGTGTTTTCTTTCCTGAGTAAGACCTGAAATTCAAACTTAGTAAGAGGGTTTCTCCCTGCTCTTTGTAGTCAGAGCTGTTGTAAGTGACCCAGAGCAGGCCACACACCTGATGTTTGCAAGGAAGCTCAAGGACTTCTGGGACTTGGAACAGCACCAGTGAGTTTTAGAAAAAGAACACTGCATGAAACAAAGTGAGTTTTTAGAAATACTTTTTCTGGCTTTTTTTTTTATTTATTATTTGGGCTCTGTGAAGTCTGTTTGGCTTTCCAGATGTTTTATTTCTGTCTTGGATCCACCAGCTTCATGTGAGGCCTTTTTTGTAGCCTTACTGTGTTTATTATAGCCTAGTGGGCCCTTTTTATGCAGATTCTCCACGTAAAATGATTGATTCATAGAATTTATAAAACCTGGGAGAACATTCTTAAGCTTATGTTGATATTATTCATCACAAGGTTTTGCCAGCCTTTTCCCAGATGTTGGATGCCTGCAACTCTGTCATATCCTTTTAGAGATTCCTGTCCTGAGGTGCATAAATTGCATAAATATGCATCTGTAAATGCTAATCTGCACAATTTAATCATACTTTTCTTTCATGTTTTGATTTTTGCTGCAATAATTAACCCTATTGGCATTTAAATGACATTCCTGGACTGTGAGCATTGAAGTAGTAGCTCCAAAGGCTTATGAAAAACTGAGAAATCATTGTGATCCATAAAATGAATGTGCAGGTCTGAGTTTTGTTCTGTTACTTTTTCTCAACATTCAGATAAGCATCTCTGCTTTGTGCATTGTAGCATCCTACTCTAAAGCTCTTCTCATCAAATGTTGTCTTTGTATTCTTATAAAAAAAAAAGACTACAAAACCAGTCTCAATCTCTTACACACATCACATGGACAGATCTCCATTTCTGGAACTAGTAATAAGGCCAATATGAAATATTTAGGTGGGTAAAGAAGCCACATTTTTGCAAGACAACACATTTTTTCTTGGAAGTATGGTGAGTGGTAGAGGTTTAATTCTTTATACAAGTGTATGTAAACAAAATATCCCATTCATATTTATGCCTTCTGTGAATGTACTCTCATTATATAATAACAGAACACATTACAACTCTGAGTTGCTTTCTAATTCAACTACAAGGGATCATCTCCTCAGCCAGTTGCCAAGGATACTGTATTTCATGTTTTTTGCTGTTTTGAAACAGTTGATTTAATGTAATATTTATCTGTGAACATATAGGTAACTTACTGCATTATTTTCACAGAGACTAACTGAAAACATGCTCTCCAACAAGCTACGCTTTGATAGTAGGATTATATCAAGGTAATCACAAATTTTGTGAAGCTTTTCAATTCTGTAAATTTATGAATGACGATATTCACTCTCTTGAACTAATTAAGTGCACTGAACGTTTCTGTTCCCTCTGTTGAGGAAAAAAAGATATGTGCTGTGTGGGTGTGTATATATATATATATGTATACATGTATGATACAAATTCTGACACGGCTGATGGATAGTGGTGTTACAGACCTATCATACAGTGTTAAGATCTGTAAGTAATGTGTCATACCCATAGCTCTGTTCAGGACAGTTAGCACAGGGCCTGTGTAAAATAGTGCTTTTAGTCATTGTGTTTCAGTTGATTAAAAATAATTTTAGCTTTGTCTTAGGTGTGGCAACTACTGTAAATGAAAAGAATGGCTTTGCAACTTGTTTGTAACTCCTTATGCATTAAACCTTAGGACATCTTTGAAACTGTTCTGAATAGTGATAGCGTAAGCATATTTTTCAGCTCTTTAAGTGATGCTTTTCTGAAGCTGTGAACTGTATACTTGTTAAGCACAGCTGAGGATTCAGTCACATAGCTTCATATGCCATGATGAATGCAGTAATCCTGGTGTAAGTAATCCTTTATTTAATGAATGAAAATTATCTTGGTATACTAAAATATGAAGCCTTGAAAGGTGTTTTTAACTTTATGGAGAATGGAACATTGAATTAAATATGTGACCAAATCCTCAAGTTGAATTCCATGGTGGGTTAGAGAAAATAGTCAAATACCTCTTTAAAAAAAGTAAATTGTACAATATGCAACATTGGAAATAAAGCGTATGTTGGGAGCAGTCTTGAGGAGAAGAACTTGGGGGTGCTGGTGGATGAGAAGCTCAACATTATTTGGCAATATATGCTTGCCAGAAAGCAAGCCATGTCCTGGGCTGCATCAAAAGAAGTGTGACCAGCAGGTCGAGAGATAATTCTTCCCCTCTACTCCTGTCTCATGAGACCCTACCTGGAGTACCGTGTCCAGCTCAGAGCCCCCAGCACTGAGTAGGATATAGACACGTCCAGAGGAAGGCCATGAAGAAGATCAGAGGTCTGGAGTACCTCTCCTGTGAGGACAGGACAAGAGAGTTGGGATTGTTCAGTCAGGAGAAGGGAAGGGTCCAGGGAGACCTTATTGCAGAGTTCCAGTGCCCAAAGGAGAGCTATAAGAAAGCTGGAGAGAGACTTTTCGGCAAGGGCATGTAGTGACAGAACAAGGGGGAATGTCTGGAGTACCTCTCCTGTGAGGACAAGCGGAGAGAGTTGGGATTGTTCAGTCAGGAGAAGGGAAGGGTCCAGGGAGACCTTATTGCAGAGTTCCAGTGCCCAAAGGAGAGCTATAAGAAAGCTGGAGAGAGACTTTTCGGCAAGGGCATGTAGTGACAGAACAAGGGGGAATGGCTTCAAACTGAAAGAGGGCAGGGTTAGATAGATATTAGAAGTTATTTCTTTACTGTAAAGGTAGTCAGGCACAGGCAATAGGTTGCCCAGACAAGTGATAGACCCCTGGCAGTGTTTAAGGCCATGTTGGATGTGGCTCTGAGCAACTTGGTCTAGTGGAAGGTGTCCCTGGCAGGGGCATTGGAACTACATGATCTTTAAGATCACATCCAACCCTTAGCATTCTGATTCCAAAATGAATGTTATTTATGTTTGAGTTGGATTGAATTTATATCAATGAAAGACATAAAGGTGCCTTTCAAATTTTCTTCTAGAAATGGTCACGATGCTTGTGGAGAGTTGATTGGATTTTTTTTTTTTTTTGCATGTGACAGATCCCTTGCTGTGTATGAATTTTGACAGTTTGGGAAAAACAGGTAGGATAAATTACCTTTTAAAAAGGTTTCACTGTATCTAAGAAGGTTAAACAAATTTAATTGTTTTAATACCAGTTTTGGATTATTTTACAGAACAAATGCCTTGTCTTTCATTCAGAAGGGAGTTTATGAACATCAATGTGGACCAAGGAAGGGAAAAGCTTATGGTCTTCATGATTTCTGCATTGTAGGTATACTTCTACTGAATTTAAGGGAATTTTGTTGGTGATTTGGAAGTAATATTTAGATATTCGAATTGCAAATTAGAATTTAGCCTTCAGTAACATTTTCAAATTAAAGATTTTCAGGAGTCTGGATTATTTTGCTGTACCACATTTTAGAGATTCTTTGCCTTCAGATTAAGCTGTAGTTTGCAATTTTCCCCCTAGAGGGCACGAGACTGCAGACAGTGGAGACCTTTTGTAGGCAAAATGATGGATAGGAGAAGGAGAGTCCTGAAGAGGAAGTAGATCAAAGTAGTTGTGGAAAATTAATAATCTTTGCAAGGTCTACTGGCATTTTTAACTCGAGGCACTGATTAAATATTTTTTAAACATGAAGGAATGGCAGGTTAATTGTTTGTAACCTTAAGTTTGAAATGTACACTACCAGTTCTTAGAGCAAGCTTTTGAAACAATGGTAAACTTCACCTACTAGCTAATCTACAAATTGTATTTCATCTTCTGGGCTGCTGTACTTATGTAATTGGTCAGGTGTTCATGGTTTATACATACTTCAGCAATTTTTCGAGTACAGACTGTTTTCACTGAGTGCTTCACATCCTCCTGCAAATCTGAAGTTTAGAGCAAAAACTGTGTTTGCATGAAGTATTGAAAATAAAAGAAGGCAACATTAGTTTTTAGTGTGTTTTGTCTAATCACATGCCTAATCCTAACTGCTTACATGTAGCAAGGATCTAAGAATTTCAACATGAAATAGATAAGTTTATGGTCTGGAGGTTGGAGCTACTTTTTAGAGGTTTTGTTTTTTATTGTCGTGTATTTTTGCAACCTGCAGATGGAAATGTGTTTTGAATAAAGATGTCAAGTTCAATAGCTCTTTGGAATGATGTCGTATCTGTGAATCTCCACATCTGCAATCTTGCTTTCTGGACTGACATTAAGATATGGAGATATATCACAAAGTTGAAATGCTTGAGACACTTGCACAAGAACAGTGTCTCTGTCTCCTCCTTCTGAATTTATGAGTTTTGGAGGATTTATAATTCAAGCTTGCACCAATATTATAGTTAGAGCTACTCCTTTTATAAATTCTCAGCATTCTATGCTTTTAATTGGGCAGCTTATTTTCTCTCCCCTTTCTTCTTCTTCTTCCAAACCAAAAAGCATCTTTAACTTTGCAGAATACATGAGGTGTGCCCTCTGTCCCCAGTTTGGCAGGAAGGGGAATTTGTAATACTCAGAAGAGACTATACTGGGTAATAGCACTCTGTGCTACTAGTAACATATTTTTATTCCATATTTATTAGAGAAATCTAGCAGTTTTAAAGAATAACTTTATGATTAAACGTTGCAAAAATAATTTGAACTTTCGGAAGGGTACTTTTTAGTTGTTTGTTTATCTCAAGTATGATTTTAGTTTATTGAAAATAACTGTAAAGGGTTTCTTCTGGTCTGAGAGAACTTTGCTCTCATGCAATCAGTGTTGCATCTTCCTGAGCTCTCTTCTCTGGTCCAGGGAGTTTTGACTCCTGTAAGGATGAAGGGAGAAGAAAAGTTGAAAAGGAGAGCCTGCCTGAGGGAACAACAATCTTTAGCCTCACGTTTCTCAGCTGTGGATTAGGCACCAGTATGCCTTCTTACTGGACAAACCTCCGTGTAGAGGATAATGTGTTGTCTTGGAACATTTGTAAGAAAAGTGAGTTTTGTTGCAGGTATTCTAAAGTGCAGTCTATCTTTGGAGTTAGCTGCTCATGTTCTGGTTGTTGCGGTTTGTTCTTGTTTTTCTGAAGTTGTGTATCTGGTAGTTGACTTTTTAGTTTCAGATCAGTTTATTAAAATAAAAACAAATTAGAGGACTGCATGCTATTCCATTGCTGAATTCATTAATTTTAAAACTCTAGAATGAATTCCTTTATTGTTTTGAGTTTACAGGTATGTTTGCCATTCACATAGTTTGGTCCAGTGCGTAAAGCATCTGTCACCCTGAAGCGATCTCGTCCAGGAGTCTGTTTCCTTATTTTGGCAGATGACTATATCTGTGTGTAGACTTCTTTCCCGCAGTGCCTGAAATAGGCAGAAATGCTTGTCTCCATTGAGACCTACAATTAGAGTCATCATATTTGTGAGACTTCTTTTATTTGAAATGCCACTTGTTATATGACTATAATGTAGCGTGGAGCTGTTTGCAGTATCAAACACTGATTGCAAACCAGCCAAGTGACTGGATATCAAATCAAGAAAAATGACATATGCTTTCATAGTTTCAATCCTGAAGAATCTGTCTCCTTGCTTTATGTATCGAGCATGTGTATTTGAATAAACTGAAATGAAAATTAAGCTGCTGTTAGCAGTGCTGAAGAGGCTGTGTGGAGGCCTCTGTCAGAATGACGCAGGAATCTTAGTAATTGGAGGAGGTGGAAGGGAAACAGTTTAACTTCTGATTCTAAGGATGAGCTAGAAATTATGCAGGGAAGACAATTTTTTTTTTAGTTGATAAGGAGACCACATTTGATGTGAAAGTTGTTGAGATAAAATAATCATGAAACTGCATAATCAAGAATAATTTTATGATATCTGGTGCCTTACATAAAATAGGTAATTAGACATAATCCATTGCACGAGATCTAAAACTATATGCTAGGTAGTTAGGTGTATTTGATCTTTTAATATTTTCACTTTTTTTCCCCTTATATGCTTATGTGAAACTCTCTTTTCCCTGTAGGCTTATATGAAACTAGATTTCAACAAAACTTGGATTGCGCCTATGGTGGATGTCAGAAAATGGTGCTGTGGACAGAAATATCCTCTAGTATTGGCAGGTAATTCCCATGAACAAACAAACAAAAAATCTGTAACTACTAAAGTAATCTTGGTAGAAGAGATGCCAGATTCAGAAACTGGGTGGAAATACAAACTGTTTCATGTTGGCTTAGACTTGAGCTGTTAAGGAGAACTTTTTACTTCTGATGATTTATAATGTGTCTATCCGGAACATGACTATAAATAGTAATGCAGTTCATATACACAATTTTAATACTTGCTTTTTGTCAAGCTGCAAATACTGCATATATGAAGAGTAATTCTTTTCCCTACCTGTGTAGGGCTGCATGTAAGCAGTCATTTCTCACCTTTTATGTGCAAGTTATCAGTGACAAATATGACATTTATAATTTTCACTTAGGAGGATACCCTCATTTTCACCTTACTGTTTTCCATCAAAATATGCAAGGATTCCAACTGACACAGAATGTACTCAGCACTCAAGTAATTTATTCAGAAGGAACTATTTCTGGGACAGGTTTGTCATCCTTTACAGAGGAAATGTTGACTTCTTCGCTATTTTTTCAGGATTCTCAAAAATGTTTAAACTTTGCCATTGAAAAACTAGGAGTTTAAATATTTGAATGTCAGTTTCAAAAATAATATCCTCATGTACCAATCTAGTCACTGAAAAGTCTCCGTAGTGTCAAGACCCTTTCTGTTTTACCTGTAGAAGAGAGGCTGGATGTTTTTTTTTGTATTGCCAGTGATTTTAATGGTAACACACGAAGAAAACATGGTGGTATAGGGACACCACATGCGATTTTTTCCAATGCTATAATGCCATTTTTTTCCATTTTTTTCTTTAGATTATGAAATAATCTCGAGTTTTGTCTTTATTAAGTCACTAGAACTCATATGTAAATTTCGGAACAGTTTGCAAATGCTGATTTGCATCTAAAAGTTTTCCTCGAACTTTGAACTTGTACTACATTAAACACATGCTTTCTTATAAGAGAACTTCTGAAACACCAAAATCTTAGTTTACAAATGCATTATTCATTTTTTGCAGTAATTTGCAGAAAAAAATCCTCATGGTTCATTCCAGTTGACTGACCTGATGTTTCTGTTGGTACTTAATGCTATCATGCTATTAGAGTAAGAGGATTTCTGTAGCTGGTATTAAGTGAGCCAATGACTCAATTCCGAAATCAGAATATTGCATTTGCTCAACAAAAAAATATTTGTAAGCTAAAATTTGAAAGTTTCTTGCCTGAAGTATATTAAATGCTACATATTCACTGTTCTTTAAAATGTTTAATGGAAAAATATACTTCATAGGCAAAGCTGCAGAAGAAGAAATTAAATCGTCATTTCTAGAATAATTAGGAGAGTCCTGCAGCAACCCCAATGAAGTGTCCTATTCTGAATTTAAAGATTACTATGAAGGATTAAGTTTTGGAATCATGGATGATGATGATTTTGTTAATATCTTAAGGAACCCTTGGGAAATTTAGAGTGGAAGACAATGAAAATGAAGACACGTTTTCTAAACAAAGAGTGACTGAATAAGGGAGGATTTAGTCTTGATGTGCATTATAATTAGTGTCTTAAACAGATTTCAGGGACCAAAAACTTCAGATGTTTTCAGAATTATATATGGCAAATTTCTTAGAGTATCTGTTGAGCTATACTAGCTACCTTTTTAATGCACATGCTGTCCATTCCTTTTCCTTGGAAATAATAAAGACTGTTTCCCATACCAAAAGCCACCTATTTTAAAATAAGAGGGAATTAGAATACTAAAATGCATGAAGGGGTGTATGCAAGAGAAATTTTTTTTTTATGATGCATTGTGAAAGCCTTTAGATTTGACTGTATAAATATCAATGGTAGCTTTTCTTCAGGAAGTTTCTTATAGCATTCTTTGTCTCGTTTCTTGTTTCTTATGCTGGCACTTAGCTTGAAAAAGAGCAGGTTATTCTTTTCCAGTTTTGAGGATGTCTGCAGTACAGAAAGTGCAGAGATGTTCACAGCAATTAGCCCCTTGGCCTGTGGACCATCTTGACTGATCTTATGTTGTCATTTTGGTCAGGCATCTGAAGCTGAGCATTGAATCCCAAAGGTTTTACTAAGCACACATTAATTTTGGAATGCATATTTTCTTTTCCTATATTTTTCTAAGTGGTTTTCAAAGCAAACAATTTATGTCTAAGTATCTGTTTTCTTTCTATCCTGGGAGTTTTTAAACTAAAACTTAGAAATTATATCTTTGTCAAACTGATATATAGCCTTTCCTATCTACACTGAAAGTATAAACCAGAAAAGTATAAAGCAAAAGGCCCAAAAGAACCATCTCTGTTACAATAAAAATTAAATAATGAATTAAAGTATTCCTTGCTACTTCAAATATTCAGGCAGATAATCTTTTCAATGTAGTACATCTTGTTAATTCTGTAAAATTCTCTGTGTTAAGAAATAAAAAAATGTATTGTTAAGTATACATACAGAGTGAGATAGATAGCCTTTGGCTTTGATAGACTTGTCACTAAAATTAATTGTATGTTGATCTGCATTTCTTAAGCCTGTGCAATTAAAACATATTAGTTTCCCCTGAGCTTGTCTGCCTGGTTTTGAATTTGTAGCCTATGGTTAACAGAACCTTCCTCTGACACAGAATTTGTGTGTCATAGGAATTAAAGGGCATTGCTGAAATGGATGCTGAAATGAGGAACTTTGGTCCCTCTGTGGCTGACTGATTTATTCTGGATATAGCACTTCCGTGTTCTAATGGCTTGTGCATTGTTATGTTTTGATTGTACCCTGACCTCAATTATAACAAGAATTGCAGTGTCTGATCTAAATCCTCAAATGAGGGATTCTGGGGTGTTCTTTTGGGGATGCAAGAGTCTGTATGTATTGGTTTACAGAGAAAGGCAGATTTTGGCAATGGTTATTGTAAGCAAGAATTCTGATGTGGCTCATTATGATTTTCTTGCTCCCCATT